TATTTTGCTTTGCTATTGTTGTTTTGATCCGTGCAGGTACAGATATTTAAGGTTTTGCATTTTTGCTTCAGGTATCTTAAAAACAGCATATTTGTTTCTCCTCTAGTCTTCAAAAAAAAAAGCAATTAATGGCTTTTTTTTTCCCACTGTAGTAATAGGCGACGGCAAACTCTTTGCATTCCAGCAATTCATCTGCGCATGACTGCAGCCACCATGCAAGTCAGCCAGCAGGACTTTGAAAAGGCTCAAGAGCAGCTGAAGCTTTTGAAAAAGGATCCTGGGAATGAAGTTAAGTTGAAGCTCTACGCTTTGTTTAAGCAGGTGGGCTTGACTCGTTTTGTTTTTTAAGGGGCAATCATAATGTGAAGGGGTGGACCCATAAAGTATATATTTAAAACACGGGCTGTTCCAACATATTGTGTCCTAACAAGACTTTTCATTTCAAGTGGACCAATTCTGTTTTTGAAATGCCAGCCCCTCAAACTGCCTGAGTTCAGAAGGAAGCCAGACAGTTTCATCTTGTAAACTGTCCTTTGAATAGAAACCTTTATTCAAAGGAAGAGAGCCAAAATACCTCCGCTGTGTGACGCCTTCCATATAATATGCCGTATATTGATGCAGCACAGGAAAATTGTGCCCAGGAAAAAAAAAGAGAATGCCACATGCTTTCTCTTAACCTTGTTGTATCTGCAGACAGTCAGCTGGTCCTATAATCTAGCACTATTGACATTTGAAGGTTGACTTTGTAGGTGGGGGGGGGGTGTTTTTTTTTTGGTTTGTTTTTTGTTTTTTTTGAATTCAAGGAACTGTTCCTCCACACTTACTCTGAGGGAAGGTTATTCTTTACTATAGCGTGGAAAGAGACTATGTGGATACAGCTGCAAGTCCTTAGGGGATTTGTACTGGTATTTGGGGAAGTATTTGTGGATCAAGATTGTCCTACAGGGTCAGTGCAAGCTGTGGCTTATTACAGTGAAGAAGGCAGTCAATCATTCTTTAAATAAAACTTCTTAAAGACAATAGAATGTTTCAGGTAATTTCAGTAACTAACAATAATGAGCTCATACTTTTCTTTTTTTATCTGCCAACTCAAATATTTATATGATAGTGTACCTTTCTTCAGGAAAAATTGATCACAGAGTACTTTAGGATAGCTGGGACCTTTGCAGGTCATCTCGTCCAACCACCTTGCCCAAAGGAGGGCCATCTTGAAGTTATTTCCCACTTACTAGATCTTATGCCATGATTTATTTGTTCAAACAACTTACACTTTTTAAATTTTCTTTTTAAATATAAAGCTTTCACAATTTTGAGATAGGTTGCTGAGAACATGTATGCATGTGTTTTTTGAAATTGATGTCTCTTACTGGTTAGGCGTGTCTGAAAGCCCGGGATCAGCCATTAGGAAATGGCAGACAGAGGTTTCACGGTGTGCAGACTGTCTGAATATAGCCCAACAATTAGGTTTTCCTCCCCTTGGAACTGAATTTTGTATTCTGATCACATAAATCTTCTGAATGGTTGTTTTTCTTTTCTACCAAGGCACCTAAACTTTAATCAAGAGTTTAAAAAAGTTTGTTTCACTTTCTTCCCAGGCTACTGAGGGTCCCTGCAATTCTCCAAAACCAGGTATGCTGGACTTTGTCAAGAAGGCCAAATGGGATGCATGGAATTCTCTTGGCAATTTGTCTCAGGTGACAGTATCTAAAGTTTCACTTAGCTACTTTGTAAATTACTGTAGCGTCAAGTGTCTGGTTTGTAAATGAATGATGTCTAAGCATATTATGTGCCAGTTGAGCACCTCTGCTTCAGACACCAAAATGTTGTGTGCTGTATTTTCATATTTGTTTCGATACTTTAATATTTGGAGGTTTTTTTTTCTGAGTAAGCTTAGTTTTAAATTATTACTAACAGCTTGTACCAGTGTAAGAGATCTTATGTATGTGGTGACTTACAATAAAACTACAGTTTTTAACATTACATCATATTTTACTCTTTCCTTTAAAAGAGGTAGATTGAGCCTCACTCTTCTTACAGGTGTGTTCCTTGACCTGTGATCCTTCTCTCTGTTGTTCTCACAGATGCTACTATTATATGCCGGTAGATTTAAACCTCTGGATCGGGAGGGGGAGAAAACCTTCCATCTGTAGCAAGTCCTATGAGTCATTAAGGAAAGCAAAATTAGTCTTATACATTCTTTCTGTCAAATACCGAAGAACAGGAATTAGATGCCCTTGGAGGGAAGTTAAATAGTGACGATTCATACACCATTTTGCTTTAGCCAAAATGAAAATTATACCTTGAGAGCAGAAGTATGCCTCTCTTGTGATTCCATATACTATTAAACCTTGTTTGTCTGTCTCTTTCTCTCTCTCCCTATTTAGACAAAGAACAAATCCGTGAATCTAGCATGATATTGATAACTTTGTCACCTTAAAAAGTTGATCTCTAACTAAAGACTAGAAAAAAGTGGCAATATAAGAACGGTGTGTTGAGAGCCTCTTTTCATTCTTGCTCAGTTGATCTTGAGATCTTTTTTACCTTTTACAACCTTTTGAGAAGTCTTTACCTCAAGTGAAGTGAGCAGGCAGAATATAGAGTCAAAGGTACATAAGTATTCTATTTTCATGCAGTTTGTCATAAGTCTGACATTACACAGAGCTGTTACACAGAGCACAGTTTCCTCTGCTGGTAGTAAATGAAGGAAACATAAGCTTCACAAACCAGCTGTGTCACTAATGCATTAGGCCTGCTATTTGGGAATGGTTTTCGAAGTTAGTCTTAGATACTACTTAACACAATTTTTTTTTAATGTGCTTTAGGTTTTTTCATTTAACTAAGATACGTGTGCTGAAAGGAACTCTGAGATCAGGATGTCACTGTGAGGGAGCTCAGATGGCACTGTGCATCTTTTAGGAGTAGCCAAGAAACACTCAAGGAGAAGAATCTACTCTTGAAGTTATAGTGGAGAAGGAATAAATATTTTCATGTACTAGAGATTGTAGAAATTCTTGAAGTATAACATCATTTCGAGAAAATAGATTGCAACAACCTAGCATTTACAATTATTTTTAATCACTACTTACCCTGCCCCCCTTCTTCTACAGCATTTTAGGCCTTCACATGTCATGTTTGTGCTAAATGATAAGTAGTATCTGTAAGCAATTTTTAAATGCCATGGACCCATTTCAGTATTCTTGTTTCTAGTAAAACATATATTCTGAAATAACTTTTTTTTTTTGCTGTTGTTGGAGAAATGTCCAAGTGGAAAGCAGCAATAAAGGATCCATGAATTGAAGCTATGATTGTGACAGAGGGCTTTCGAGGACTCTCAGATATGGATGGAGGCATTTCTCCAAAAAAAAAAAAAAAAGTTATTATCATCCCAGCATTTATTCGCTATATCTTGTGGATCTTTTGTTGCTGTTTTCCAGCTGGATTTAATCATGATCTGCAGTCAGTGTTTAAATACAGTATCTTCCTATTTTCACCTTAATTAGGATACTTTCTAATCGAGAGATTTTTTTCTTTTGTCCTGAGGGCACACTCCCCTTCTTTTTATGGCTTCCCATTTTGAGAATAGCAGAACAAACTGGTTTGGATTTCAGCATTTAATAATTCTGTGTGATTTTTCTCTTTGCAGGATAATGCCCAACAGAAATACACCGAGCTTGTCTCAAGTCTGGTCTCTGCAGAATCTTCTAGCCAGGTGAAGGATGCTGCTCCAGAAGAGAGCAGACATGATGGCTATGAAACAATAATAGTTACTACCAAAAACAACATCACAAAAATAATGTTTAACCGACCTGAAAGGAAGAATGCCATCAACCATAAGGTAAAGAAAATGACTTGGGAGGTTTAACCATTTTTTTTTCATGGGTAAATTACTTAAGCTTTTAAAGGAACATTGCTACAGGTTTAGCAGAACTAACTGTAGCATAGGGGTCTGAAGCTTATGAAGGTTTAGCGTCTTGACTCCAGTGACAACGTAAGGTATAGGGATGCAGTACAAAATCAAACACTTTGCTAAGATTTTACAGGCGTTTAAAAGGTTAGGGTTTTCTGTGTCTTTTTTTTTTTTTAAACTTAGTATAGCAGTATGGTCAGCACTAAACTAAAACAGCAATGTGCAGGAAGACCAGTTTGCTTTTTGGAGACAAGATTTAACTGTAGACTTGCTTATTACAAAGAATGTGGACAGCCTGCTTTGGCTCAGCAGTATTGTATGTATGTCTAGATAGTTGTCCTGTTCCTATAGCTGTCTTCATAAGGAAATCCATCTTGTTGGAGAAGCCACCTAATCATCCTGTTACACTGCTGCAAAAATGCCAGAGCTGGGACTCCCCCTGCCCAGCGCTAATTCTTTAATATATTATTTTGCCCACTTGTCATACTACTTTTCAGGTTTTAAAATAAGCTATTTCCAGTTCATGTTTATTTCCCAAAGGACCTGATTTTAATCTTTAGATTTGCTTTGGAAGTCTGAATGTTGCAAGCTTGTGTCTTTGTGGTCAGAAATACCTCATGCAATACTTAACTTTCTGTGAGTGCACATTTTCTACATATTTAAAAGCACCATACTTAAACTATCTCTAAAAGTTCCTTGTTGTCAGTGTGGATCTCCTTTTTATGATCTCTTACAGCATCACAGTTGTTCTTTCTTGGTTTTCCTCTTGTGCAGATGTACAGAGAACTTATCAAAGCGCTTGAAGAAGCTGCCAAAGATGATTCTACCATAGCGGTTATTACTGGTACTGCATTTCCTAAGACTCTCTTACATTCATTTTATTTTATGCCCAAGTGCAGTCCTAACATGAGCTATCTACCTGTATTTAGGCTAAGACAGAATTGCGTATAAGTGAAGAAATTGCTTCCTTTAGAACAGACCAAAGATTTTCCAAAGTGTTTTGGCAAAATTCTGTTAAGACGATGTTTGAAATTCTTCGGCAGACTTGCTGTTATATCAAAACATCTTTCTGAGATGCTGAGATGGACATGGGATACTCTAAAGGCTATATTACTTTTAAGTAGCTGGTCCGTCTGCTCCACAGCTTCTTCGCTATAGCTTTTGGAGTTCATTTGGATGGCTTTAGTCAATTTTGTCTACCTCTGTCATACATCAGAACATATTAAAAACAAACCAACCCCTCAAATCCTGTGCTGGAATGCCCGACAGAAGTTTATAGTGCATCTTTACTTATGATCTTATGAAAAACTGATACTTGATTTTGATTTTTCTGTGGCTGTCATGGAAAAGGGTTGTCCAGACAAGCTGCAATCTGGCCCACCTATATACATCCCAGTCACCAGATACATGATGTGTACAACTGGATGACTGCAGCTATAGTGCTAAAGGGCAGCCCAAATTCATGCTGTCTGTGAAGTCGCGCTGCTCTGGTGACATCGCATATGAATTCTAGAGGGCACTCTTTGGTCTGTTCCTGTCTGATACTAACTGAACAATATTGTGGCACGGACAGATGAGAGGGACAGAATGGCTGCAGCAGGCGCTGCCTGTCTGGCTCATCCTCATTGCAGGTAGGTGTGCTCTTGGGCATGCATTTAGAAAATTAGTCAAAGCTTGCGGCTTGCAGCTAAGTAGTATGGACACAAGGTGATTTTGGGCTTGAGCCAGTTTACCCTTCGTCACTTCTGAGGTAGTTGTGTGCGTATTCATCTCTACTATCTTCTTTCCCAGGACACTGAATTTCCTTTCATTAGCAATGACTGGGCACAGCAATCCTTACAGCATGAGAAAGGCTTTTCACACAGCTGGAATGTGTAGCAAGTGTATAGCTAGGAGTAAACTGCAAACTCTTCTGCATAAACCTTTCTCTTCCATTTTAAATAGTTGGTAAGAGCACCAGGGCATGAAGTAATACATATGCTAAACAGAAAAAGGCCTGATCCAGTAAATGTCCTCCTGGAACAGAGGATGATTTGGAGAATTAAATCACGCAGTCATCCTCTCTAGCTTTTAAATACTCCCTGCTTTTTTTTACTGTGCCTCAAACTCTCTTACACCTTTGCCAACAGGTTATCTGCTTCTTACTGAAAAAATACATCGCTCAGTACAATGATTTCAATGTAGTGCTGCCATCTTCTCCCTAGAATGCTATGCCATTTTCCCAATAGGACATAATAAAAGTGAAACTTGCACCACATTTATGATAGGTTATTCTGTCTGCTTCTGATTCCTGTGTCAATTTGAAGGGGAGTGAAGACAGATGCATAAACACTTCTGTGTATATGTTATATATAAAATACACATTATATATTTTTTATATAGTATATTTCTGTTTTTAAAAATGTTTCTTCTTGCTGTGTGAATGATTGTGAACTGACAGAAGAAAACTGAGCAAGTACTCAGGGAAAGAAATTCCATTCATCTGACAGTATTACGGAAAAAAGTAAATGAGTATTTCCCCCTTAAATCTTCCAAATGTAATACCCTTTGTTTCTTAACCCATTGTTTTTACAATGAAGTGTCAGTCAAATCTTATTTTAACTGTAGATATCCGTTAAGTTACTGTTTATGCTTTGAGACAAGTCCTCTAATTACTTAATATTGTTAGAATGAAATTCTTTTGTAAATGTAATGAATTCTGTCTACTCGGAAAACATTGGTGCATTTATTTATATGTTCTCTGCAGGAAATGGAGAGTACTATTGTAGTGGAAATGATCTGAATAATTTTACTAATATCCAAGCCAATGAAATGGAGAAGATGGCAAAAGATGGAGCAGTACTACTCAAGTAGATCATCTTGGTTTCATATATGCATAAATGTAATGGGTAGTGGGTAAAACATGATTTGCAGACGTTGTTAGAAAACATGACAGTAGGGACTGAGTTATACTAAGTACAATACATCCGGTTAGATGACTGTGTCCAAGAGCTGACGGTGTACATATACACAAGGGCTATGTGGGAGAAGTAGTAATCACATCACATAAGGGAGGAGATGAGACGCGTATTAGAAATTGTTTTCTAAGTACAATGATGCTAGAGATTTGGTTTTATTTTTCAAAGTATGTGCATATGTAATGCTAAAAACATGATTTTTGTCTGTATCATTTGTAAACTACAATGGAAAAAATGTTCTTTTTTTTTGGTTATCAAACAATGTCTCTGCTAGCAGGACGTGCTAAGATACCTTCACTGGCATGTTGCTTTCAGTAGAGACTAGGTGTAATGGGCTTGCCCAAAGTGGCCCAGGAAGTCTGATTATGTTAGTTCCATCCTTGAGTCTCAATCTATCTGTTAAGTTAGTTTGTCTTCTAAGGTCGAGGAGATCAGGGACATCATCTGAGATAGTGGCTGAAATGGTTCTTGGGACAAACAAAAGTCTCTCGTTCTTTCCTACTCAGTTTTAAGCAGATTTTGTCTTCCTTTTACGTCTATATGTGATGATTTCGTTTGAGAGATACTTGCAAGTTTGGGTTCTTACCTCAAGCGCTTGCAATTGATGAAAAATCTGAAATAGGCAGAAAAGCAAATGGTGTCTTTGATTTTTGTTTTAAAGATGAACTGAAAGTACTCAGTTTTGTGGCTTTTACTTAGGCAAGCTATCAGTAGATCACAGTTGCCTCTGCAAAGTGATAATGACACAGTCCTAAACTGTTACAAAAATGTTATTCAGCAGTATCTGATAAATGTTCCAGCCAGCAGTGCTTTGTAGGGTATTCATCACAATACGCAATCTCACATGGATATTTTACGGTCTTTCACCTTGCTCTTGTGAGAAGATTGTATTTGTTATGCTGTTAATATTGCACAAGTGCAGTGCTTCATTGCAGCTGATGCACAGAGATGCCAGAGAAGTGGAGTCTTTACAGCTGTTCACTTTTGAAAAAAATATATTTTGAGAGTATATTTTGCACTCTTTGGATGGTGAAGTAGCTGTCAAATATAACAAAACACTTTTTCAAACCTGTGCAGAAGAGCACGAGGGAAATCTGTGTTGTGGTAGCAGCACAGTTCTGGTGCCTGTTGGGGCTTCACTGCAGGTCAGAATCTCTGAAGCAAAAGGGTATGCCAAGAATGGAATCGGGATGGATAGATAGGTAGGCAGGTAGGTAGATAGACAGGGCAAAAGATTGTTCTCGTTAGTTAGCTGTAGTCAATAACTGTAGCTGAAGAAGAGAGCACTTTTGTAACTTGACTGCAGTATCTAATAAAACTGGGCAGACATGCACATATTTAGTTCTTAGTTGGTCAGGAGATAAAAGTACTTCAGATAGTGCTTATTTTCTTTGTCAGTATTCATTTGGGAAAGGGTCGAAAACATATGCTACCTAGGATATAGCCCACATGTTTTGTTTTATATTATCTAATCATGTGTGATAAAAAAGACTAGGATGCCTCTTACTCTCACACTCTGTTTTTCCTTCTCTCCAGAGAGTTTGTGGCCCATTTTATTGATTTCCCTAAACCACTGATTGCAGTGGTGAATGGCCCAGCCATTGGAATCCCTGTAACAATCCTTGGATTGTGTGACCTTGTCTATGCTTCTGACATGGTAAGTACGTTACATAGCTGATCCCAAGACAATATTTTAAGGCCTTTCTGTAGCAAGTATTATTTGGTCCAGAATAATCTGGCAGAAAAGAACGCACCAGTGTAAGCACTCCCTTTGTCACGTTGAGGAACACCTGTATTAATTAGCAACTTTGGGTCGTGCATCAGCTGATGCTTAACATGCGTGGAATTTCTCTGCTGTAGTTACATTGTCGAGGTACTGAGCTGCAGTTTAGAAACTCTTTACTGTATCCTTTATTGTACCAAAGGGTACAGTAGCTGATGGAAGATAATAACTCTAAAGCCACTTGGAGCAGGGTGGGAGGGGAGAGCAAAAGATTATTATGGAATGGAATTATTATGGAATGACACTGTCTCCCATCACATCCTCCTAGGTAAGCTCAGGAAGTGTGGGCTAGACGAGTGGACAGTGAGGTGGATTGAGAACTGGCAGGATGGCCGAGCTCAGAGGGTTGTGGTGAATGGCGCAGAGTCAAGTTGGAGGCCTGTGGCTAGTGGTGTCCCCCAGGGGTCAGTCCTGGGTCCAGTCTTGTTCAATATATTCATCAATGACCTGGAGGAAGGGGCAGAGTGCACCCTCAGCAAGTGTGCTGATGAGACTAAACTGGGGGGAGTGGCTGACACACCAGAAGGCTGTGCTGCCCTTCAGAGGGACCTGGACAGGCTGGAGAGCTGGGCGGAGAGGAACCTCCTGAAGTTCAACAAAGGCAAGTGCGAGGTCCTGCACCTCAGGAGGAAGAACCCCCTGCACCAGGACAGGCTGGGGGTTGACC